ACCCGGGAGAAACAAAATTCTGTGGCAGAGTGAATCGCGCAGTTACGTAATGTTTGATAGCCCGGCTTGGCTAGCTTTGTTATCTTGGATACTGGCCTAATTTTTCACAAAATTTTCAGACTCGCCATTAAAAAATGTATAGCAGCTACTTCTAAGAATAATATTTTCAGGCTATGGACAGAAAACTTTAACTGTTCTGAATTTTTTGTTTCTTAACTAGTTTTGTGTTATCGTGTTTTCTGTTTCATGTGTTAAACCAATTTACTACAACCAGTTGGTCTGCGTTCCAAATTTACGATTAATTGAATATATTTGATTAATGGCATTCTTTATAGCCGTTGCACGCGATGACTGCCCATTACTTTGCCACGGTATTTGAAGAAAACAAAAGTGTGATATTGCATGTTCGATCCTGCATTTAGTTAATGCTGACCGCATCATCACTTGGCAAAGCATTATGAGTCAGCATTCTCCGTATGCTAAAAATACGACTTCATATATTTACGTACTGTAACCGACACAGTGAAAAACAAATGTTAAGAACATTTTGGTTGTGCGACGAAAATATTTCAGCCGTTAGAAAGTTCTCAGTGATTGCTAGTCAAACTTAAGATTAATGGTCCTCTTTATAGTCCAATGCCCGCAAAATGGTCGTTTTTACTACTTCATGAATAACTACTCAGTGGGGAACCGTTATAAGTACTTGCTAAGGGTTTCTTATCGATTTAAGAATGTAAATCTTTGATACGACTTAATGAACTTATCAGAGGCAGCTAGGCCAAAGCTAGCGAGCCATGATTTCAACTAAAATAAACACAACCGGCTGTCATGACCATAGTCACAATAAGAAACTACTAGAGCCATTTTCGCACATATGACTGAGTAGCAACCCTTATATCAAGCAGGGTGATGTGCTAATTAAACTGAATGATGCAGACGAAGCATTTCTCTCTGAGTCGGCTATTTGTTTCTGTTTGTGAAGTAGCTCAGTGTAAAGAAAACGGTTCAGTTATTTAGACTGAGGTTTTCTTGCTGTATTCTTTGATTCAAAGCACCGGTTGAAATTTGACGGAAGAATTACTAAAATGTTTAGTCACATATAATTCATGGAGGTAATAAAAAACTTTTCAGTTTTTGCTGCTTTTCTTATATTTTCCCTACACATCAGTCAATTTATGACATAGATGTTATATTCAGGAGAACTGGTCTTATCTTTACCTTTTTTGTCATAAAATACCGTTTCCCGGCTGTCCAACAGTCGAGGGCTTTTCAGTCGCATTGTACGATATTCACTAGAGCTTGTAAAAGAGCCCAATATTTTTAAATGACACTGCGGGAATAATATTAATGGCAAGAATGATAAAAGAGCAGACTTGATATTGACTTTCAACGAAAATGGGGCAATTATATAAAAATTATTTTACGATTGTGCGTCATGTCAGTTGATTACGTCAGCTGACTCAAGTACTTTTAATATTATGCAAACATCTTTCCTTTCGCAAAAAACGCGTTTTTAAAAACTGGAAGTTACTGCGGATTTTCTATTTCCTTTTATCTTCCGTTTACAGTTTATTAACATTCTTTCGCTATAAAATTCGTGTTCAAATTTTACGCCAATGGGGTATTTGAATCGAATCTATCCAGTTTCGTACAGAACTGCTATCATAGACGTATTTCAAGTAGTTAAGGCTTCAGTATTAACCGCAAGAACAATATGTGATAGCATGTTAACGGCCGGGTCTGAGTTTTATGCCAAATATAGCGAAAGTTTGTTTTTATTTTAAGATACAATGGAATCTTTCAATACCAGTTTGCGTTGCCAAGCAAACAGGTTTCTTCATGCAAAAAGACTGAAACCCCAGAAGGGTTAACATTTCAGGATTAAAAAAAGTAAAAGGCGAAAAGCAATAAGATAGTGTAAAGAAAACTAAAGTAACTTTAAAAAGTAAAGTAATTTGAATATAAATTTGGCAATTGGATTGAAATCGTAAGTTTCGTAATAGCTCGGATACTTAACGGTACGACAGCAATATTGGGGAAAAATAACATATAATGCAAAATGAATTCTTTTCGTGAACAGATATTAAGTCTAGGGTTCCGAATTAAAAGCAAGTGCCGAGAATACAGAAATACCGAGTCAAAAGAAAAAAATGTTAATGAAAAATGAAAGCATGAAGGGTTGAGAGGAGGGTTATGCTCATTCTATGGAATATTTTATAATGTCGTTTCTATCAAATCTAACAGTAAAATTCTGACAAAAATATTTGTTTTCAAGAACACTGAATAAACTGAAAATTTAGACTGAAATAATAGCTTACTTGTTGTCGAGGAGTTTCATTTTCAATGCTAAATGAATTCCAGTGTACATGGCCAAGGGTTGGTGAATGCGGTGCAGGTCTTTGGCTGTAGTTTCCTTCTCCTGGAAAATCAATAGCGACCTCTCCATTCCCAACAGTGCCGCGTCTATGTTCCATGACAGCTGTCTTCAGGCTTCAGAGTAAAAGCTATTAAAGATTCCAGGAAAGATTGAAGAACATGGAATTACATCTCAAGTCCAACACGGACAATACTGAATTGGCGAAGGCGTTTGAAACAGGAAAGGCCGCAATCGGACAGGACAAATATTATCTTTAAATAACTAACAAATAAAACCGTTTTATCTTGACAGCAAACATGTCAATTTATATAAAAGTATCACAAATGCCAATACAAATATCAAGTTGTGCTCCCGTAAATTCACTTGTTTGTCATACATACCTTAAGATCAGACCTATTAGCAACGCAGCAACTAAGGTATGAACTGTCTTGGTGATGTGTTGTATGATTTAACGTTTTTTGGCAAATAAAAGAATAAATTGTCGTGTTTCTATTTGCGGACCTATTTGACATATTAATGATCAGCAAATGACAGAATTGGGCTGTATTGACTGATGTAATCACGCATTACCATTGGTTAATCCTTTATCTACTGACATCTCAAAATTTTTTTTATTGTAATAAATCAATATTGCCTTGCGTGTACTGAGACCTTTGACCAAAATATGAACGGAGGATATTGTGTTATGTATTTTAATGATATTAAGTGAGACGCGAAATAATCAGAGTTTTACAAATCACGGACATTGCCAAATTTTGTTTTTGTTTTGTTTCGAATTTAATTTGTTGATTCACGTTCAATGTAACTGTCCTGAAAAGGCCAAACATTTTTTTTTTTGTTAAATGTATATGCCACACGGAGCAAACAATACGGTTTCAGCATTAGGGACACCCAGCCGGGGGAAGCTGGAGGTCAAACGTTTCAAAAGTTACATAACCACAAATTGCTTGGAATTACGTCTCCGTAAACAGTCAGTTATTTGCGATGACATCATACCGGGCTGTAACTGCTCCTACTTCACTTTCCTTCTATTATGGTACCAGTAATTACTTTTATTCTTGATCTTTGCCTGCGAGCAGCCGACAAACAAAATAACAGACATCTACACACAGGCAATGCTAAATTGGAAAATAAAAGTATTATTAGCATGATAATAAAGGGGAAGTCGATAAGCAGTAGTTATAGCCGGATATAACGTTATCGTGCAAATAACGTCTCGTTTGCGCGTGGAATAAAGGAGACAGTAGACGTTTCCCCGCAGGCTAAGTGAACTCTTCCCTGATCGTGAAATTGAGAATTTGCATGAGTTTTGACACGAAACACTAAAAATTGAAGATTGTGGTGGTTGCTGTCGACATCCTGTTCAAGCGATGGACTCATTTATTTCAATTCTGATTTTTTGCGTTAATGGGTGGTCTACACTAGCGCATAATTTAGCACAAGCATCGGTAACATATGCGGACGGGTTACATGCAGACACTTTATTTAAGTTCGTTACAGTATAGCACATACATGCTAATTTCTCCGAAGGCTTTCTGAACTCAGATAACTACAATAAAGTAATATGTTGATAATTCTGAAGACTATCTAACTAAGATACACAAATGCACAGGTATTTAACTAGCAAAAAATACAACAAGAGATGCTAAAAGACAGACTACTAAGTGAAGCTTGAAATTGTTAAAAAATGGAAGTGGATCTGCTCCTTTCTGGTAAATCGTTCCACTTTTTGGGCACAACGTATCTAAAAGGATGCAATTCATATGATGTGGTCTTGACCCTGGGTATGTTTCACTTATTTGTTCCACTAAGTCCTGAGTTGACTGATTTTGCATAAAGATTCCAATAACTAGCACCTCTTGTTAGAAAAATGTTCTAACAAAGGCGCTGCTTAATAGCGCGCCCATTACGGCGCCTGCGCATTATAATTTAATATATTGAATTCAAAGTGACACTTTAAAGCACGTGCAATTTCTTGAACTATGGCAAAATTAAGCTGACGTTTTCTCTATTCCTAAGAGGTAGTTTTAAGACAATATTACCGAGTAGTTTAAGAAAATAAGTCTTTAGTCGTTGGTGTTTTTTAGTCTTTGCTGACGTAGTTTCCTTTCACCAGATTCCCCTCTAGGGCATCACAGCACGCTCCCCGCCTGGACGCGGTCTACAGAGCTCTTTGATTTCCGACTCTTTGTCTATATTAGCCAACCCTTTGCGAAAAGCGTCGGCGTTCTGTTAGGATACCAGAAGAGATTTCAAATCACAAACCATAAGGTGGAAAGCCAATGTTTTCAAAAACTCTTCGACTTTCCTTCGATCAACATCGCTATTCCTAAGAGGTAATTTTAAGACAATATTACCGTTCAGTTTAATGAAGAAAATAAGTCTTTAGCCGTTGGGCTTTTTAGACTTTGCTGACGTAGTTCCCTTTCACCAGATTTCCCTCCAGGGCATCATAACACGCTCTCCGCCAGAACGTGGTCTAAAGAGCCTTTTGATTTCCGACTCTTTGTCTATTTTGGCCAACCCTTCGCGAAAAGCGTCGGCGTTCTGTAAGAATAATACCACAAGAGATTTCAGATCACAAACCATAGAGAACTACTTTTTTCAAAAACTGTTCCACTTTCCTTCGAACAACATCCAAAGTGATTAACCTGGACATGCATGAAGTTAATGAAAATCCATGCAAAGACCAAATACGTGCAGTCGCCAGTTAATTTGTTTGTATTAACACAGCCACAATTTTCGTTCGTCCTGATGTGGTTAAGCTCTGATCTTAGCATGCGGATGTGGAAGAATGTAATATAAGCTTACCTTCGCCAATGCCCTTTGTAAGTGTTTATTTATTTGCTAATTTAAGAGTTTTCACTTCTCGTGACGTTACCTTATAATATGTTTTGGTTTGATGGTTAGCTTCGTCATCATGACGTTAGTAAGAGGAAATAAACACCGTTGTCGTGGTGTTTGAGGTTTACAAGCAACGATTAATTAAATTATAAACTGGCTGATCTCGCCTCGATACAGAAGGAAACTGGGCCAGCAAGTTTAATTAAGACATCTTTCCCAAGGGGGAGGGGGGGGGGGGGACTCCCATATAAATGACGGGGGTGCTCGTCGTTCCTTTTAGGAGTTAAAAATGCGGTCTTGATACCTCTTAGGCCCTATTTATACGTCGCAACAATCGTCGAATTTAATCCAAGGACCTGCTATTAATTTTTTTTTTCAGATTATGTTTGCTTATACTTTACAACACTTCTGCTGTTACTTTACCCTAAAAGAGTACAATAAAGGCTACATACACTACTTACAATACAACAGAGCTATTAACACTACTTACAATACAAGACAGCTTCTTCACCCTACTTACTATAAAGAATCGATTTTGAACAATTTTACGTACGTAACAACAATA